TGTTTTAAAATGTATGCCTTCAAGTTCCTACTGTGGGTTATTTGAAACTATGTTAACGCTGCAAGAAAGTAGATTTGAAATACCACAGAGAACACAGAACAAATATGAAGATGTGAAACAACACCAAAGCCAGATGCAAAGGCAGGTGTGTGCTAGGTATTTATATTCTCCCCACACCCCCCGAGAACAGGAACTCCATGAGAATGGGAAATTCATTTTATTCTCTGCTGTATCCCCAGCACCTGGAACACAGAAAGCACTCTGTAAATACTTGTTAAATGAGTGCTGAAAAGGACAGCCAAGGTGCACTATTTCCTTCAGGACACTTTTTTCCCCCTAACCTCTGCCCCTTGTATGACTTTATCTTAAACATAAAAATCTAGATTCTTCAGGGGAAAAAAATGTGTAGTGGATTAAAACTTCATTTGAAAGTGTAAATTTTAAAATGGTTAAAATGGTGAATTCTGTTAGGTGTATAGTACTTTGAGAAACAGACTAAAGAAACAGGGAGGCATTTAACCAAAGGGATTTAAATGGATACACTTATATAATGCCTCCTCTACCTTTCATAGCTTTTGGTCCCCATTTTTAAAGTACAAAATATTTAATATATTACAATTTACCACAGTGTCTTCTGTCAATCTTATAATGGATAGAAATTAGTAATAATGGAGGAATAGGCCTAGCAAACAAAAAAACCCTGTGCTCTCCTACAGGTAAGATCATATTAGCATTTTCCCTGTCAAGAGCAAGGACCCCCACATCAAGAAACTTCCCTTTACTGTGCAGAATAGGTCACTGAAACAATGTTTCTCTGAAGGGTCAGCAGTGTAGAGAGAGAATTAACACAACAGAGCAAAGTTCTGCTCACATGTAGCAATTTGTTTCTTCCGTAAGAGGGTGTGTTCAGAATCTTTTCTGAACACAGCATCATTTTTAAACAGCAAAGATGTGTGTCACAGACTTAAGGTATAGCTTCTAGAACAGTCAAGTCATAATTACTGTCTACATATTATAGACATGACCTTTATAGCAGAGATCACTGATGGAAAACTCTCTAAATTATATTTTTACATTCTCTCTATATGATCAAGGACAAACTAAATTCATGATAGCTAATCGATGCATAACAACCAACTGTGGTATAAACAGGCAAAGGTATCAAAAACAATCTTTTAAAAAAATCTGTATTAAGCCATGGAACCCAACATTGCTACAGATTCACCCACCACCTGTAATGAACAAAACTTTTAACAATCCCTCTAACATTACCTTTACTGTTGGTGGCTCAACTCCAATTAGTGACAGATGATAGAGAGTAAGAGTCTTACAAAACAACATAGTATTCAAAGATTTAATAATTATTATTTAAATTGCTTGCAAACAACACTGAAAGCCTGTAATATATACTAATTTGGGGGTTTTTTTGCTTAGGTTGACGTTATAAGAGCAAGTCAAGTAGCTAGTGAGTGAATGTGGCTGACTTTCCAGCATTCACTTATTAAGGGCAACACTGTTCTCTCACATGTGTATACTCTTACTAGGGGTCTAAAGGAGTCATACATTTTTAGTAGTATTTCACTGCATTTTATGGAGAACTTCAAATGCTATCATTGTATTTGCAATTTTAGAGTCACAAAGATTTGTGGGGTTTTTTTTTTGAGGGGGGGGTTGTAGCAAGATTTAACTCACCCATGGGGATCAAGAGTTGACCATACATTTTACCATTTGCTACATTCTTATAATTCAAAGTACTACATTAAAACTAAGCCTTTATAAAGGCTAAGTGTGGGACTTCCCTGGTGATCCAGCGGTTAAGAATCTGACTGCTGACACTGAGGACACGAGTTCCATCTTGGGTCTGGGAAGATTCCAGATGCCTTGGAGCCATCTAAGCACATGGGCCGCAACAAGAGAAGCCACTGCAATAAGAAGCCTGCACACCACAACTAGAGAAAAGCTGCTTGCAGCAACCAAGATCCAATGCAGCCAAAAATATTAATTTTAAAAAAACTAAGTGGGGTCTAAAAATGTTGATTACACAAAATGCAGAATTACATTATATCCAATTTGCATTATAAAAGACCATGCTATCATAGAATTGTACTAGACTATAAATTTATAAAACTAGTTCTGACGATATTTATCATTTTTTAAATTATAATTCTGGTCAATATTCAAACCTATAATGAAAGTTTTTCTCTCTTAGGGAAATCTGTAAAACTCAGAAGCACTTACTGAAAAACACCAGAAATACTCTACAGAAGTTACAGAAAAATCATGACAGGAATTAAACAAGAAAACAATCACCCATTTTTTAAAAAGTGTATTGAGCACCTATGAGAAAAGGCACTCGGGAAAGAAAGAGCAAAGACATTCACTTCTCTTACAGAGTTGATGTTAACTCAGCAAGAAAGCGAACAATTAAACAATCACAAAGTATGATAAATATAACTGGCAAGACAAAATCTCACCAGCTGAGATGAAGTAATACCAGAGAAGGCTTCCCAAACAAAGTGACACATGTACAGGCTTAGGGTTTAGATCTAAAAACTAAGGTTGGGGGTAGGAGGAGAAGGTAGGAATTAATGTTCTAGAGACTAGGAGGTGAAAAAGAACAAAGATTCAGAATTAAGAAGAGACAGACTCAAACAACTTGACAAGATGAAGCTTAAAAAGGTAAAGCAGGAACCAGATCACAAATGATCTGGTAAGATGTGTTTGTTACAAAATTTGTCCTTTATCTTAAGGCAACAGAAAACTAAAAGGTTTTAAACAGGAAAACAAAAAGGCTACATTAAAATTAACATTAGCAAACAATAATATAACTGAAGCAAAGAATCAATTAGAAAGAGACACCAATGGAGGCAGGAAGAGCAGAATGGCTGCTGTGACAGGTGTCTTGGATTAGAGATGATGGTGGTATGGAGTAAGGCTGTGATAAATGGCCTGGAAAGAAAAGATTGGCCAGAGAAAGGTTAGAAAGGTAGAACTGACAAGATTGGATCTGGGGACTGGCTAGACTGGGGGAAAGGAAGGGAGGACTAAGTCAAATATTATTCCTGGATCTCTGGATCTGGCAATCTGAACTTAACATTTCCCTCCTATTAGAAATATTTAAAGGTTATAAAAACATTACCATTTTTCAGTCACACACTGATACAAACAATGCAAAAAATATTTTAGATTTCTCACAAATGATTTTTATCTTTTCAACAATTTTCAACCTGTTCTACAATAAAATATTAAAATGAGTCTGTATGTATGTGTATGTGGTTATTCATGTCAGACTCTTTGCGACCCATGGACTGTAGTCTGCCAGGCACCTCTTATCCAAGGGGATTCTGCAGACAAGAAAACTGGAGTGCATTGCCATGTCCTCTTCCAGGGGATCTTCCCAACCCAGGGATCAAACCCAGGTCTCCCGCATTGTAAGCGGATTCTTTACCATCTGAGCCACGAGGGAAGCCCAAGTGAGTCTGCATTTCACACCAAGAAGAGAAAGGCAATTTAGTTCATAAACGTGTGCTCAGTGCGTGGAGAAGGTCAGTTTCAAATTCAAGTCTGTTATTCAAAGTGAATCCTCATATGAAAAAGTCAAGGACTGGTAGTATCCCCAAATCATCAAGTGTCTCAAAAGTGTTTTCCATGAACCTATTATATTATCAAAATAAGCCCAGGACTAGTTCTTTTATAAAACCATGACAAGTTTTCTCTTTAAAGTGGAATTTAACAGAATTTTGGCAAGCTAAATAAAAAAGATCTACAGAAAAAAAAAGCACCACCTTTTGAAATCCAATGTCAAGAACAAAAAGCAGCTGCTTTGAAAACTCATTCATTAAGAAATGTAGGTGCCCTGAACTTCCGCAAATACATGTGCAGTAGTCAAGCAGACTAGGGGGTCTTTAAACTTTCGTTTTTTTCTCTATTTTATACATCACAGGATAAGAATTTTCTCACACTGAATGGAATCAATCTATGAAATAAAAATTAGATGCCCCCTACTGCAGGTACCTTGCAACCCCTCACACTCAACTCTATTGGGTTTCTCCCACACACTTTTTCATCAGTTATCTAGGCAATCTGTGAAGTATGGGCTATCGTTTTGCTTGCAAAATAGGAATCTGTTCAATTAACTCTGAAAAATGAACAAAAACTATGTTTTCTGAACTGTCATCATTTTTCCCTTTCAGTCTATATGGTAGAAGGACCCATTTCTAACAAACGTGGTGAACCCTTCTGACTGCTATCAGAGGGGCTATCCCCTACTTACGCATATAAATGTCCACTAACGTCAAGGCTCTGACAAAATGTACTCCCCACCCAGTCTCTCATATTGGAGAAAAAGAAGCCTTTCCTGCTACCTATACAAAGAAATATCTTGCTGGTCTCCCTATAGTTTCCTATATTTTCCTATCGAGGGGCCATCACTTTAAAACAATTTAAGATTCGTGATACAACTTTCACGCCTTGGTTAAAGAAGATGATACTAATACAATAATTTGCTAAAGATTACAAAGCTGACGACTGTATGTGTACTGCCAAACAAAACGAAGAACTATACTATAATGTAAGAAAAAAGTATTCAGGAAAGAACATATCCCTAAAGCCGTAAACACAAATTTTAACATAATTAGAAGGTCACTTAGATAACTGTAACTCAAAGTCTCCCCGACTTCGTCAGCTACTACCAAGTTTTCCCGTGAAATGGAGGTTAGGGATCGGCTTTAGAATACTAAGACAGAGAAAAGATTCTCCTAGAACTGAAAGAGGGAAGAGAAACCAGAGAAGAGAAACATGGTAAGGAAAGAGAAGAACTAGCTCTAACGTGCCAAACGGTCTATTCAGCAAGAAAAACACATTCCTGAACTGACTTACGTGGAGTAACCCCAGTCCAAAGCCCCGCAGACTGAGGGGCGAACTGCGGAGTCTAGGCAGGAAGGCGCCCGAGCCCAGTGACAATGGGAACCTCCTGTTCGCTCTGGAGGAATTAGACCCACCTGGAGACCGCCATGGCCGGACGCCGGCGGTTCGGAGCTCCCCGTGAGCGACGAGCCGCGCAGCCGAGGCGCTAGTTTCCAGGGAGCTGAGCGGCGCAGGCCCAGGCCGCGGAGCAGAGGGGAGCGGCCGATGCGGCGCGGAACGTCCCGGCGCGGGCCCGAGGGCATCTGCCCTGCCGCCTATCCGTGCTCTTCCCCGCCGCGGCCCGGGAGCAGGGGGTCTCAGACAGCGGCGGAGGCGGCAGTGCTCCGACCCGCACGACTTCAAACCGGGTGCCCCCAGCCCCGCTCTTTGCTGACGCAGGCGTCGGCACGCCGGACTGAGCGTCAGCGCGCCGGAAGTGACGTCAGCTCACCGCGAGGTGCTCCGCTCTGCTGCTGAGCCGAAGGAATAAGGGCTGCTGCGGCCTGGCGGCACAAGCTGCCAAAAAGGCTGTTTGTGCACTTCCGGGGGGGGGGGGGTCGTTAGTCTTCAAGGACTTAATTTTTAAATAGGTCGATCTAGCCGAGACTCTCAGAGTTCAAAACCTTTACTTCTAATTCTTCATCGCCCCGATTCTCATCTCACCAGACTACTCCTAGAGAAAACAGAATCCATACGTCCATAGGATGCTCTAGTCCAGATGGCGATCCCAGTGGGAGGATGAAATCCACGAAGGTGTGCACCGGCAGTGAAGACACGGCTCAAATGTTTGCCGTGTAACCGTCGTATGTTCTGCATAGGTATTAGACGGAAGAACTTCTGCCCACCATTTTGCCAAGTTTGGTATCTTAACTGTTTACCTTGTTGGTACCATCATTTTCTCAACCGTATTTGAAAACTGTCAACCGTTTGTGTCTTTTTTTGCTGTGTAGCTGTTCAGTCTCTTAATTTGTTGGATTTTCAAGCATTCTCTGTCACCTTGTGCATGCCCTTATCACCTTAAACTTGATTTTTATGATAGTAGTCAAAGTAATATTTCTCTAGCTTCTTCATTTGAACCCATCTTAAAGGCCTCCAACAGATGAATCTTCAAGAAACACTGCTTTCATCGAGTCACTCCTCTGCTTATAAAACTTGTCCATTGGCTTGTCATTACGTGAAGAAGCTTTGCCTCAGCCCCTGAGTCTTTTTCATACATAAAATAAGACTAATGAGAAGTACTAGAGAAATAAAATGAGGTCATGCGGCTAGAAGAGCTTACAAGAGTTTATAAAGTGTAAAGGGAAAGAAATTTAAAAACCTATGTGCTAGACATTTGGCATGTATTATCTCATATAATTTGTAGGTTAATCCTGTAAAGTAAGTTTTAATCCTCACTTTATAGGTTAGAAAACTAAGCTCAGGAAGGTTAAGAAATTTGCCCAAGAGCCAAGCTACTAATAATATATACTGTTCATTCTTAAACAAATACTAATTTGGCCCCTGTTCTATGCCAAACACTCTGTTAGGCACTATTTATACTATTAGACAAAAGCTGATGTTTAAATGCCTTCATATTTCACCAGCTCCTCCCACCTGCCTTCTCAGTTCATCTACCACCACTGAAACTAACAAGCAGGTGCATTTACTGATCATACACTACATTAATTTAGTCAGCCAAAATTAAGTACCTACCACATGCTAAACTCTATACCAGAGGTTAGGGCTTCAGAAGAAGCCAAAACAGATAAGATGCCCACTGTAGTTGAACTTACACTCTATTGGAAGGAAAAAGAGTGAACAAGTAAATGAGAAAATATCATGTATATCTGCTATGTAAAAGAGAATGATAGGATAGAGAGCATGATTAGAGACTCCAAACTGGGTAATTAGGGGAAAACCAAGGAGGAGCTTAATCTGAGGCCTGACTAACAGGAGGGAGTCAGCTATGTGAAAACCTGGGGAGTCTTCCAGGTAGGGGATACACCTCAGGTAAAAACCTAAAAGAAGCTGGCTATCTTGGGGGACAAGATGGGAGACGTAGAAAGGCGCCATTGTAAGGAATTTGGATTTTCGTCTAGCAGTAGTGAGGTAGGAGATAGATAGGCTCCAGGTTAGACATTTACAACTGGCCTCCTGTTTGCATTTCATGGGGTACAAAGAAGTGGGTTTCAGACTGGATACTTAAAACTAGTCTCTTGTTTACATTTCCTGAGACAAGATAGAGGGACTCTAGTTGAGGAATTTACAATCAGCCTCTTCTTTGACCTCCAAAATGGAAGTAACAACAGAAACAGGGTAAATAACAAGTCTTTCTCTCTTGTAAATACCTTAAGGTAATAGTCATGGCAAGAACAGTTAAGTCGCTCAGTTGTGTCCAACTCTGAGACCCCATGGACTGTAGCATGCCAGGCTTCCCTGTCCATCATCACCTCCCGGAGCTTGCTCAAACTCATGTCCATCAAGTTGGTGATGCCATCCAACCATCTCATCTTCTGTCATCCCTTTCTCCTCCTGCCTTCAATCTTTCCCAGCATCAGGGTCTTTTCCAAGGAGTCAGTTCTTCACAGCAAGTGGCCAAAGTACTGGAACTTTAGCTTCAGCAACAGTTCTTCCAATGAATATTCAGAACTGATTTCCTTTAGGATGGACTGGTTTGATCTTACAGTCCAAGGGACTCTTGAGAGTCCAACACCACAGTTCAAAAGCCTCAATTCTTTGGTGCTCGGCTTTCTTTACAGTCCAACTCTCACATCCATACGTGACTACTGGAAAAACCATAGCTTTGACTAGATGGACCTTTGTCAGCAAAGTAATGTCTCTGCTTTTTAGTATGCTGTCTAGGTTAGTCATAGCTTTTCTTCAAAGGAGCAAGCATCTTAATTTCATGGATGCAGTCACCATCTGCAGTGACGTTGGAGTCCAAGAAAATAAAGTCTGTCACTGTTTTCATTGTTTCCCCATCTATTTACCATGAAGTGATGGGACCAGATGCCATGATCTTAGTTTTTTGAATGTTGTTTTAAGCCAGCTTTTTCACTGTCCTCTTTCACTTTCATCAAGAGGCTCTTTAGTTCTTCTTTGCTTTCTGCCATAAGGGTTGTGTCATCTGCATATCTGAGGCTATTGATATTTCTCCTGGCAATCTTGATTCCAGCTTGTGCTTCACGCAGCCCATGGCAAGGACAAACAGGGACAAAACCCTGTTTGAGTAAAGGATTAAGGGATCTCCATTCCCCCCTTTTGGGGACAAGGGAGACACTACGTATGTGCAGAAAGGCTCACTGGGGTCAAAAGTCAGGGGATAATTTCAGGCCATAATGAGTCTTGCACCTCCCAGAAGCCTTCACTTTGAGGACCATCTTGGCTGAGGGGTGCATGCACACCTCAGGGGAGGGTCCTGAGACAGATCAACCCGTAGCCTGGGGGGGAACAAAGCAAGATGATTGGCCTGAAGGAAGGCAAAGACCTGGAAAACTGTCCCCTAAAGGATTTAAACTTCCTAAAGGTGTGGTTCTCTTCTGAGTTTGCCCATAATTTTCTTTTCAAATAAACTTTTTACTTACTCTTTATCTTCTGCCTTCTTGCCTGAATTCATTCTTTATTAAGCAGGCAAGGACTAGGGACTCTAGCCTTAACTGCTGGCCCCTGTGGTCCAGTGGTTAGGACTCCCAGTCTGGGAAACTAAAATCTTGCTTCCAGCTACTGCTCGCTGCAAGCTGCCAATTACCGCTGCATGCATTTGAAATCAACAGGAAGTCATAGGAGGGTTTTAAGCATGGGAGTAAAATGATCCGATATGCATTAAAAAAAAAAACCTTACTCTTTAACATCCAAGAGGTAATTAGATACGATATGTAGTTCTAAATGACATATAGAAGAGAGGTGTTACAGACTGGTAAGGCATAGTGTAATAAATATATTGAAGTCAGAATAGCTTGTTTTTAAATCCTTCCTCGCCACATTTAATAGTTGTGTGTTCAGGGAAGTTGTATAACCTTCCTAAGCTTCAACTTCCTCTTCTGGAAAATGGGGACAATAATAGCACCTTATAGGGTTGTTCAGTTCAGTTCAGTTGCTCAGTCGTGTCTGACTCTTTGTGACCCCATGGACTGCAGCAGGCCAGGCCTCCCTGTCTATCACCAACTCCTGGAGTTTACTCCAACTCATGTTCATTGAGTCAGTGATGCCATCCAACCATCTCATCCTCTGTCGTCCCCTTCTCCTCCTGCCTCAGTCTTCCCCAACATCAGGGTCTTTTCAAATGAGTCAGTTCTTCACATCAGGTGGCCAAAGTATTGGAGTTTCAGCTTCAACATCAGTCCTTCCAATGAACACTCAAGACTAATCTCCTTTAGGATGGACAGGTTGGATCTCCTTGCAGTCCAAGGGACTCTCAAGAGTCTTCTCCAATACCACAGTTCAAAAGCCATCAATTCTTCAGAGCTCAGCTTTCTTTATGGTCCAACTCTCACATCCATGCATGACCACTGGAAAAACCATAGCCTTGACTAGATGGACCTTTGTTGGCAAAGCAATGTCTCTGCTTTTTAATATTCTCTCTAGGTTGGTCATAACTTTCCTTCCAAGGAGTAAGAGTCTTTTAATTTCATGGATGCAGTCACCATCTGCAATGACACTATTTTCACTGTTTCCCCATCTATTTGCCATGAAGTGATGGGACCAGATGCCATGATCTTAGTTTTCTGAATGTTGAGCTTTAAGCCAACTTTTTCACTCTCCTCTTTCACTTTCATCAAGAAGCTCTATAGTTCTTCTTCACTTTCTGCCATAAGGGTGGTGTCATCTGCATATCTGAGGTTATTGGCCAAGGTTTAAAGGAAATAATGAATATAAAGCATTTAACCAAGTGACTATAACTTTAAGCACTCAAAAATGTTATTAACTCCATTGAGTAAACTTCTTGTTAACTATGCAACCTTAAGCAAATGACTTAAATTCTATGTCTCAATTTCCTCAGTTGTGAAATGGGGATAAAAATAGTACTCATACACAACCTTTGGGGTTTGCCTGGTGGCTCAGTGGTAAAGAATCTGTGTTCCAAGGCAGTAGTTGCAGGTTCAATCCCTGGGTCAGGAAGATCCCCTGGAA